ATCAAGCTCTTTGAATAAGGATTTGGTGCCTGTCATATGGTTCGAGCATCCGCTATCAACAAACCATAAGTTACCTTCTTTTGGATTCGTATCCATGCATGCCACAAACAACTTTTCTTCTTCTTCTTCATTCTCTGCTGCAAAATTCATTCGTTGATTTTTATACCAACAATCAGATTTTGTGTGACCATACCTTCTACAATGGTAACATTGTATGACATTCCTTTGTTCATTGAATTGTCTCTGTCCATCACTTCTCCACCTGTTATCACAATCGCCATGGAAGCTGCGAAATCCTTCTCTTCCACAACTTCTACTTGCTAAACAAACATTTTCTTTTTCGTTGCCTTCGTTGTTGGCTGTCTCCACTTGTAGTGTCTTTTCTATATTTTCTCTTTTGTTGCCTTCGTTGTTGGTTGTCTCCACTTGTAGTGCATTTTCTATATTTTCTCTTTCGTTGCCTTCGTTGTTGTCTGTCTCCACTTGTAGTGTCTTTTCTTCATTCCTTTCTGATGATTTATTGATTCTTGACTCATGAGCCTGAAGCAAACCCATCAGTTCATCAACGGAGAGTATTGATAGATCCTTAGTAGCTTCTTCTATGGTAGTCACCACATGGTCAAACTTTGGAGTCAAGCTTCTCAACACCTTTGCAACAATTGTTTCGTCTGAAATTTTCTCTCCATAGGTACGCATCTGACTGACTATTGCCATTGTTCTGGACAAAAAATCAGCAATTGATTCGCCATTCATCATGAGCAGAGTTTCAAAATCACTTCTTAAAGATTGCAATTTCACTGTTATGACTTTTGAATCTCCCTGAAACTCCTTCAGTAGAATTGACCATGCTTGCTTTGATGTGGTTGCTGCTGCAATTCGTGAAAAGATAGTCTCATGAACTGCTTGCTGAATAATGAATAGAGCGTCGACATCATTTTTCTTGGTTTCCCTTAGTGTCTCCTCTTCTTCAATTGTGGGTTCTGATATATCAACGAACCCGTACTCCACCAAGTCCCATAGCTCCTGCGATCTGAGCAAGGTCTTCATCTTGATGCTCCACCACTCATACTTCTCACCATTAAAGATTGGCAACAACGGTGCAAAGAAAGAAAAACCAGCTACTGCCATTTTTGTTTTGGAAAAGAAAATAATCACTCGCCCTCGTGTCGAACGAACTTGGCTCTGATACCAAAATTGTTGGAAAGAGGGATAGTGAAAGAGATAGGAATGGATAGGAATAGATGAAAGCTACGGTGCTTTATTATTGTCTACGGACTCAATGCTCATAGTGTTACACAATTCCAGTAGTTATAGCTAATACACTGGACCAAAAATAGTAAATCATCGAAATCTAGAAAGAATTTAAATCTACTAACAATCTCCTAAAAATCTTGGTAGTTTGAATATTTGAATCATATCTCAACTACTTCAAATCATATCTTCATTTTGAATACTTTGAATCATATCTCAATATTTATGAATTTTGGTTGCTTTTTTTTGTGTGGGTATTTATGAATCCTCTCGTCTCTGTAAAAAGGTGGAAGGAGGCCCATGAAAAACCCTCCCTGTCGCTCTGCAATTGAGCTTCAACCATACCAAAAAGCATTGATTACTTTAATAAATTCCTGCACCAGCATCTTCATCTTAGTCAACAAACTGTTCTTCCCAAAAGCAAGCCACAGAAAAAGGAAAAGATAATGAAGAACAAGAAAAAGAAAAAGAGAAACATTGAAGATTACCCATTTAGATTATCCTCTCTTCTTCCTACTTCTTCCCAGTTCTTCTGCTCTGCTTTCTTTTCCCATTTCCCATTTCCCATTTCTTCCTTCAAACACCCTTTTCCATTGCAAGAATTGTTGGAGTTAAGTGCACAATTTTATGTTCTGCTTATTTGTTTCCATCATTTTTTGAGGGCTGTTCAATTGGAGTGCGATTTTCAGGTAATATTGTGTTTTTTGCTTCGATATTCATGCTAAACACCTTTTTGTGTTGTCTACGCCCACCAAGTGTTTGATGAAATGCCGCAATGGCCAATTGGTGGCTTCCGGGTAACCGTGTGATCTAATTAGCTAGAAATCACCCAGTTCTTTGGAATTCTCTCCTGTTGCATTGGAGGGATTTGAAAAAACTGATATCTGGGCCTCTTAGAATATTGATGGGGTCTTATGGCAGCCCTAAGACTTGGATACCTTATATGAGCAACAAAGATTGCTCTCAAGGTTTTTGTAGTGTATATTGTCCTCAATGGTGCTACATCATGTTGTCACCTCCACCACCCTTGGAGTTTCCTGATGATGATTCATCCCCAAATTTTTCACCTCTTGTTATAGCAATTATTGGAATTCTAGCAAGTGCTTTCCTTCTTTTAAGCTATTACACCATCATTTCAAAGTATTGTGGCAACACAAATCGCTTGTTTGGAACTGGCAATCATGACCCAAATGAGGAATTTGAAGATAATCATAACCCAACACTTCATGAACCATGGCATGTTGCCACAAATGGCTTGGATGAGGCAATGGTTAAGTCCATTACGGTTTGCAAGTACGAGAGAGGAGATGGGTTGGTTGAAGGCTCTGATTGCTCTGTTTGTCTTAGTGAGTTTCAAGAAGATGATAGCCTTAGGTTGTTGCCTAAATGCAGCCATGCTTTTCATCTTCAATGTATTGATACTTGGCTCAAATCACACTCCAATTGCCCGTTATGTCGTGCTAATATCGTCTCTGTCGATGCTTCTCCTCCCGTTCACCTTCCTGCAAGCAATGCATATCCCATAACTAATGAGACCATGCCAGAGACTTCTCAGACACATGACCCTGAGGCTGTTTCACAAGATTCAGAACGAAGTTTGAGAAGTGATTGTGGGAAGAACTCGGTTCGTGCCTTCAGTGACCTCGGAGTACCAGAGAAAAGAGACACTGTCATTGAGCTTAGAGACGGCGAATTGCAGCAAATTAGAAGGTCCATTTCAATGGATCATTGCAGCCAAAATCATATCATTATTGCGGATGTTCTACGTCTAAACGACGATGAGTATGAAGCAGGAAGTTCAGGTGATGTTGGATCATCCAAATGTTCAGTGGGAGAAGACAGCAAGTCCAGCCACAGAAAAACAATCCTGCATTGTGTTATGAGTCCTGTTTCGATTAAGAGATCGTTTTCAAGTGGAAGATTTTCTCTCATTAGGCATGGAAAAGAACAAAGAGAAATCGCCCGTGTCTGAAATTTACAACACGGAATCAGGAGGAACCACGACAGAGATTTTATGGAATGAACATTATACCATGTTCTTGGTTTAGCTGCTTTATGGTTGGTTATGGGTTTTAGTGAAGATCATCCATGGCTTTTGTTGCATCATTAAACTGTCACAAATATGTCGATGCACCAGTACTTTTCTTCTTCCATCAATTATTTGACTGCCTTTTCATTGCTTCTATGAAGATTATAAGACATCTCTCTCTGTCTCTCTCTAAAACTTCTGAAATTTTTCTGGGAGATTTTGGTTTCTTTGTTAAATTTTGGTTTTTCTGAATTGATGAGAATACAGAGTGATGTGTATATAGAAACAAAACTATGCATCGAATGGCACAATTTAAATAAACCCTTTTAGCTGCAGCCTTTTTCTCTGTTCAATGCTAAAAAGTTTGAATGTCACTTCTTTTTCCCAATAATTGTAGCACACAGGGGCTCCATATGACAAGGAAAGGGATTGCTCTCTCATGATTCTCATCATCATCTTCAAGATGCCCCATATGAACCTGTACGCCCTTCTACAAGATTTGTTTGTAAGTACATCTACTTTATTTCCAGTTTTTTAATGTTTTGATAAGTTTTAGAAGCAGCTAGCTACTCAAAAAAGTTAGTGTTCATGTGGTTGAGATTTTCAAAATTTTGAGATCTCACATCTACTACTGGAGAGAGAAACTAAACATTTCTTATAAGGGTGTAGAAACCTCTCTTTGGTAGTCGCGTTTTAAATTTGTGAGGCTGACAGCGATACGTAATGAGCTAAAGCGAACAATATTTGTTAGCGGTGGGCTTGGGCTGTTACAAATGATATCAGAGCTAGACACTGGGTGGTGTGCCAGCGAGGACACTGGACTCTCGAGGGGGGTGAATTGTGAGATCCCACATCGGTTGGAGAGGGGAACAAAACATTTTTTATAAGGGTGTGGAAACCTCTCCCTAGTAGATGCATTTTAAAACCGTGAGGCTGACGGTGATATGTAACAGGCCAAAGCGGATAATATCTACTAGCAGTGGGTCTGGGCTGTTACAAATGGTATAAGAGCCAGACACTGAGCGGTGTGTCAGCGAGGACGCTTGGCTCCCAAGGGTAGTGGATTATGAGATCCCACATTAGTTAGAGAGGGGAACGAAACATTTCTTATAAGGGTGTGGAAACCTCTCCTTGGTAGACGCGTTTTAAAACTGTGAGGCTGACAGTGATACGTAATGAGCCAAAGCGAACAATATCTGCTAACGGTGGGCTTGAGCTATTACACAACCGCACCTAACTTATTCTTTCTAGTATAGTTCAACCATATAGATTATGTGCTTACGTGTTTGTTCGTCAGAATGGTTTTCTAAGTGTTTAAAACCCATTGAATGAAGTTACGAAGAGATGAGTCTACTAAAATGAGACGACATTGTAGAACCCGAACTTAAATGACTATAGATGGAATAAGGTATAACCACGGCACGTGGCATTGCTCTCTAAACCGTCTTGATCATCGTTTTGTAAACAAATCTCTCGTTTCAATTACTTTTATTTATCTTGGACATTGACTTCTTACCTTTCCAAAAAGAAATTTACTCACTATTTGGCATTGTGGGTCATCAAAAACCCTAACTAAATTTGGATGATGAAAGGAGGTATGAAAAGGGGAAGGGAAGGGAGAGGAAATTGCACAGGAAGATAATGATGAACCCAAAACCAATCCCTTCGATAACTTTTTCTTCTCATCTGTCACTCTCTTCTTGTCTGTGGTCTCAAGAAAAAAGAGAAACTAAAGCAAATAAGACAAACCCTTGAAAGCTACAAAACAATATCATCTTACATAAAAACACATTCATTTACTAATTACATCAAACCAAGCCACATGCACACACACAGTGAACTTGGCATTTTAATGGCTGATTCCATTTCAATGCTCTTACCTCTTCTTTTTCTTTGTTTTGGCTTTTGAATTGTTTACATTTTAACATAACATAGTTTCTTCCTCAATTATTCTCACCATATGATGTGCTGCTGCTGCTATGTCATCTACTGATCTTAGTTGGCATCCTTCTTCAACCTGCATTTTCATTGTTTCATCAAAACGTCGTAAGTTTAATCTTCATTCTTGCCCCGAACTCCGACTTTGAACTTTGACTTATTCCATTTTGATAAAGAAGTTTCGTATCTAGACCATTTTGAAAGTTTAGAGACGGTTATAAAATGGTAATTAGAGAATGAAAAGTTTGATAAGTGTAGGCCCAAGCTCATCGCTAGCAAATATTGTTCTCTTTGGGCTTTCCCTTTCAGGCTTTCCCTCAAGGTTTTTAAAACACGTTTGCTAAAGAGAGGTTTCCACACCCTTATAAGGAATGTTTTGTTCCCCTTTTCAACCGATGTGGGATCTCACAATCCACCCCCCTTGGGGCCCAGCGTCCTCGCTAACACACTACTCGGTGCCTGACTCTAATACCCTTTGTAACAGCCCAAGCCCACTGTTAGCAGATATTGTTTTTTTTGGGCTTTCCATTTAGAGCTTCCCCTCAAGGTTTTAAAACGGGTATAGTAGGAGATGTTTCCACACCCTTATGAGGAATGGTTTGTTTTCCTCTCCAATCGCGACGTGGGATCTCACAATCCACCTCCCTTGGGTCCCAACATCCTTGGTGGCACACCGCTCGATGTCTGGCTCTGATATCTTTTATAACAGCTCAAACCCACTGTTAGCAGATATTGTCTTTTTTGGGCCTTCAATTCCGGACTTGCCCTCAAGGTTGTAAAACGTGTCTACTAGGGAGAAGTTTCCACACCCTTATAAGGAACGTTTCATACACCTCTCCAACCAATGTGGAATCTAATGGTATCAGAGCCCACCGCTAGCAGATACTGTCCTCTTTGAGCTTTCCCTCAAGGCTTTTAAAACGCGTCTGCTAGAAAGTGGTTTCCACACCCTTATAAAGAATGTTTCGTTCCCCTCTTCAACCAACGTAGGATCTCACAACAAAGTTCGAAACATTAGGTAAGTAAGTACCTTGAGGCTGATGGAGTAAAGAACCAATGGATGAAAATCAGTAAGACTTAGATGAAGAATGGTGAGACGAAGAGCCTGCAAACCAGCAATGAGCTTCAAGAGCTGTCTATGGCTTCTTGTTGATAGGATTCTAAGGTTTGCATGAGTTTCAATCATAGTAACTTCAATATCAGCTGAAGAAGCCTTGGATTTGGAAGTGTATTTGGTAGAGTATTGGGAACAATAATTATGATCTGAATTATTCATCAACAAACTTCCAAATGAAAACAACTTATTATCATTAATCTCTTGTTCTTGATGATCAACTTCTTTCTGTAAAACTTGCAGCTTCTTGGCTTCCAAAGTTGATAGAAGATGCTCCAATTCCTTCACAAACTCAACCGCTCCTCCTACTATGGATGCTTGGTCACCCTTCATATGTTCATCACATAAAACTGATATCAGTTCATGAAAGATTGCTATCAAAAAGGTACGTATCATATTTTAGGGCCTTACAAACTCTGCTTCCTATGAATCTGTCATTTTTTGAAGTTCTTGAACAAAAATGTAGCCAAGCCATGCAATTATGAATAGGGTTAGGAGCAGAGGTCAATTTTTAGCAGTAATAATTGAATTCTATGTTTAGGCTAAATAATTGAGATTAGTAACGAAGATATGAGCAAAAGAAGAAGGTGGGTAGGAGTTTTAATGGCATAATTATGAAGTTTAATCAAATCTCAGAAATGGGGTCCCAAATTTTAGTAATGAAAGAGACAAATAGAAGAAAACAAACCCTTTGAACATAGGATTCGGGCATGAGTGAACGTAACACTGAAAGATGCTCATTCATCTGTTTGCGGCGGTTCCTTTCAACAGCAATGTGTGTCATTCTTTGTGTTTCAGCTTCCTCTTTGTTCTTACAAACCCTTGGTTTTCTCTTCCTCTTCTTCTTCCCTTGTCGTGTCGACGCCGTCCGGAGGCTTTCCAACTCACTCGGACGGCGTTTTCTATCGGGTTTCAAGCTTCCTTCAAGCCCATGTTGGTGATCTTGATGTCTCGAACACGTGTCGTCGGAGAAAAATGTGTTCTCCGACGAGTCGTGGAGGACGGGGGAGGTGTTGGGGATTGCGGAGATGGTGTCGTAGATGATGAAGTTGAAGAAGTCATTGGAAGAAAGAGCATCAAGACTCATTTTGTTTGGTTTTTGGTTAGGAATTGTGTTGAAGGAAGATAGGGAGAGAAGGGATGAATGGGAAGAGAAGTGTAGGAATTGTTGAAAGGGTAATGTAAAAGGAAAGAGGTATATAAGGTGCACGTGAGTGGGGCAGAATTGGATTGCTTCATATAGTTCTTCTCTAGTCCTTGATATCATCATAGAAAGTGCCAAAACATTGGAACAGTTTGTACAGAAGAGAGAGAGAGAGAGAGAGAAAGGGCTAAGGGGACCAAATGATCCATGTAGAAATGAGCATAGAGACAAGTTAGCAAAAGCTGTGTTTCAGATGATCTTAGCTGCGTTTACCTAAATTAATGCAATTTCTTCGACCTTTTTTGTGAGATCTCGTATTAGTTGGAGAGGAGAACGAATCATTCTTTACAAGAGTGTGAAAATCTCTCCCTAGTAAACACGTTTTAAAAACGTTGAGGAAAAGCCCAAAGAAGACAATATTTGCTAGCGGTGGGCTTCGGCTGTTACAAATGGTATCAGAGCCAAGGACGCTGGGCCTCGAAGGCGGTGTGCCAACAAGGACATTTGGCACTGAAGAGGAGTGGATTGTGAGATCCCACGTTGATTGGAGAGGAACGAGTGCCAACGAGGACGTTAGACCCTGAAGATGGCAGATTGTGAGATCCCACATCAGTTGGAGAAGAGAACGAACTCACTGGGCTCCGAAGGGGGGTGAGATTGCGAGATCCCACATCGGTTATGGAGTAGAACGAAACATTATTTATAAGGGTGTGGAAACTTTTCACTAGCAGACGCGTTTTAACAACCTTGAGAGAAAGCTCAAAGAGGACAAATTTGCTAGCAGTGGGATTGAATTGTTGCACTTACCCATCTCCCTTACCTCTCAATCCGTATTATCTTTAGGGTTTAGATGCTTACCTTGGACACAAGAAAATAGGCCAAATCCCGAATTCGAACACATACAAGTTTATGATATGAATCATTGCCATATTACATACTCACATTTATTGGAAATGAAGAAATGTCTTCGAAGCGACTTCAGGGCACATAGATATTGCCTCTGGATCGTTCTAAAGAGGCATGATACTCGTGAGAAATAGGGTTACACCTATTTCTACAGCCTCGTTCAAATGTTCGTACTCTCACTTATTTTACTAAACAAACTCACAATATACTCAGAATTATTCAAATTAAAACTACAATATGTGTCTTAATCCTTGTGGAGTGAGTATTTTTCGTCCTTTTGAGTTCAATCATTGTACGAGTGTGAGAATTGAAGTATCGATCTCGATGCCTTATCTTCCAAATTACACTCGATTGGACCCTTGGAAGAAACTAATAATGAATCAAAACCCAAAATCATAAAATTAAAAAGTAGAGAGACTACTTTATGATCATAGATGTATGTTCATAAATGATGAACAAGAGAGAGAAAGAAAAGGGATTTGAAGTTGAAACTTGAAAGTGTGGTCCAATGTGTCAGCCTCTTCTGCACCCTAATCCATGTGACCCATCAGCTTCGGAAAAAGTACCATTTTTCTTCTCATTGGACCTTGCTTCCTTACTTACCCCCTCCTCCCCATATAAATCAAATTTTCTATTTTCTCCTGCAAAAATACAAATTTTTTAAATAAATTAATAAATAAACCATGAAAGATTCCTCTAATACCGCGAGAATATTTGCTAAAACTAAAAATAATGTATTTATAATCATTTATCGAATCAAATAAGATGATAAAGAAAATGGAAGGAGAAATAAGCAGATGTATGATATTCCCGTAGGATCTATGGTCAAATATGATACCTACGGTAAAAATATTTAGAAAAATATGGGTAAGTCGTAAAAGAATTAATATTTAATACAAAGAAAATGGAGAGATGAGTGAATGAGCTGTAATGTTGTAATATAGTGGGAAAAGAATAATGATAAATAAAATTAAAAAAATAAATTGAGGAAATTTGGAACATAAGAGAATGACAAGTGGTCGGAATTAGGAAGTTGCATGTTATGGGAAATGGGACCATTAGTTTCCTTCTAATATTTTTATTTATTTTTATTATTTTATTATTATTATTATTTTTTAATTTGGAACTATAAAATTCTGACATGTTTTTCCACCCGGGTGGGCTTTGGGTTTATGGGCCTCTACTCTACCACTCTTCATCCACCTCCAACTTCGCTGAGACCTATCTTGAATCGAGCGAGGAATCCTCGTTTAAATACGAAATAGAGGAGATAGGCGAGATTTTTTCCCTTAGCTAAATGGATCTCGTGAACATCTCTTGTCCACACACACATTTCCGTTTCCGTGGGTTAGAACTAGAAATGTTCATTTAACCTCAAAGTTGAAATTTCACGTAGACCCATCTCGAACGGAGCAAGGAATCCTCGTTTAAACAAGAAATAGAGAAGGGGGTAGGAGAGATTTTTGTACGGTAGCTAAACGAGTCTTGTGGACATCTCTTGTCGTAGACACATCCATATGGGTTAGATGTAGAAATGCACATTTGACTTAAAAGTTGAAATTATACATAAACCTATCTCGAAATCTTTATTTAAACAAGAAATGGAGAAATGGGGTATGAGAGATTTTTCCCCATTAGCTAAATGGATCTCGTGGGCATCTCCTATTCACACACACACATCCTCGTGGGTTAGGAGTAGAAATGTCCATTTAACCCCAAAGTTTGAATTTCACGTTAACCTATCTCAAACAGAGCAGGGAAACCTCGTTTAAACAAGAAATAGAAAAGGGGTCGGGGAAATTTTCCCGCTTAGCTAAATGGGCACTGAACATCTCTCATCCATACACACACTTGATCTTCGTGAAAATAAATAATTAAAACAGAAAGCAGGGACGACGATGGAGAAGATTTCCTCATCTCTACCCCGTCCAATGGATATCTCTAGTTGGAAATGTGTTTAAAGTTCAATTACTACCCGACTTTTCAAATAAATTATAAAGAAAATCACGAGAGCTTATGTCCGATATGATAAATTATAAAGAAAATCACGAGAGCTTATGTCCGATATGATTATAGAAGATCGATAAAGGAACCTAAACAAAAAGATTCAAATCTCATTGAATAATTTTTGTAATCTTCTAGAGCAATCGATGAAGAACCTAAACAAAAAAACGACTACCCTGTTGTAAAGAAAACGAATCAAAACTCTTTAATGGATACAAAACTCAACACATCAAATCAAAACTGATAGAGAGAAAGAGAAGAATTAAACTCAAGAAACTCAATCATGGCGGCTTCTGCAAATCAATTCGATCATCAGATTCAGATAGCTCCGAGAACCCACCACCATTCCCAGGATTTCGTAAAAATTCATCAAAAGTCACACAACTCCCCGTCCAATTATGCCCTCTAATGATCTTAATCTTTACATGTTCCGGCAATCTCAACTTATACCGATCATCATCTTCCCTTCTCGCCTTCAAAATCGAATGCCCCGTTGAATGGCACCTCGAGAATTTCTTGGCACCGTCGTCCTCCGCCTCCTCTGTTTTTATACTCTGTTTTCCTCTGTTCGAACCAGACCGGCGATCGTCGTTGTCGTCGTCGGCGTCGGCGTTGTCATCGTCGTCGACGTCGTCGTCAATGTCAATACTAATAGCATCTTCGATTGATTCATGATGGGTACTGCGTGGTGGGTTGTCATGATCGGAATCAGGGGGCTTATCGGCGGAGTTTCTGGCGGAATCGGAGTCGAGATTCCGGCGACAAACAGGGCAGGTTTTGTGGGATTCAAGCCAGAGATCAATGCATTCTTGATGGAAGACATGGCAGCAGACAGTGAGGAGGCGGAGGAAGCTGTCGTCGTCGAATTCAAGCAAGCAAATGGCGCATTCTAATCCGAATTTGTCGCTGCGAAATTCCTTGATGCCGGAATATGGGAAGGTGGGGAAGGTGTTTATGAGAAGTGGGTCGAGGCCGGGAGGGACGGTGGGGGAATCGGCGGAGGGGTGGAGGATATTGCCGGAAGGGGAGCGGCGGAGGTTGCGGGAATGGAGGAGGGAGTCCATGATGCAGCGGCAGAAGTAGATGGAGAAGAAGCCGACGAGGAGGAAGGCGAGGAGGATGAGAGTGAGGATAATGGTGAGAGGAGGAGTGGAGTGTTCTTCAGGGGAGAAAGAAGAGTGGGAGAAATCGGTGGACATTGGCCGGAAAAAGACATGGAGGAGGAAGGAGGAGGAGGAGGAAGGAGGAGATGGCGGCGGAGGAGACGGCGGAGGAGGAGGAGATGGAGGAGGAGGAGGAGAATTAATAAGGGAAGTCATGATGGTGTTTCTTCATGCTCCTTCTTCTTCTCGCAATGACTCGTTCTCGTTGCTTGCTATGGTTTAAGGTTAATGGAGATGGAGATGGCTAACACCTTCCACATAGCCATTTCCATAATTAGGACTAACCCTTTTATACACTTTCTTTGTGACCAACACTCAATCCTTCTTTCTCTCCTCATTCCATGGGATGACCTTACACTTCGTCTTTCAATTTTACCCTTGGACTTTTCAAAATTTTATTAAACCCTGTTGGTGTCATCTTAGGCACTTTGTATCTTGAGATTGTTTACAATCTGGTCCCTACTCGGACTTTTGAGGTGCCTCTCTGAGCGAGTATTTTTTTTCAGAGACGAACTGGGAGAATGCTCGAGAGCTACATAATCGTAGAGGGGGTCATCTCGGGGTATTGGTCTTGTTTATGTATTATGGGTCTTGTATGTTTTGTTTGAAATTTTAAGACACGAACGATCAATCTGTTTGAAGTTATCTTTAGTTAGAATGAATGTTGTCATTTTTCTCTGTTTGTTTAATTTTTACGCCAATTATCTCGACAACCAAGCAAAACCTGAAAAGTTTGAGTTAAAGTATCAACGCTCACAAAATCTTAAGACGTATCAATATCAAAAATTTTCTATTGAAACTAAGCTAATTGATGAGTATCAAATATAAAAAGATAGACAAAGGAATATCACCTTGGATCGTTAGTGGTTCTATTATTCTTTTTTAGAGACTGAATTAAATGGGATAGTTTTAGAAACTTGAGATCAAATAATAGTAGACAGTGTCACAATCGCACTCTTGCGACAATGGAACAACGATTGTGTAACACTTGTTCTAATTCAGTGAACAAGTCAACCGTGAAAAATTCAGACTTCGCGAACAACATCTACATATGCACGAGTCCCGTTTGAGAAAAATGTTTTTAGAAAATGTGAGTGAAGAAATATATATGTATTATAAGCTAAAAGCGATTAGGCAATAACAGCTTTGATAGCATATAATCGGGTAGGAGGAAGAGACAACTAGTCATATCACCTATAATACATTTTTGGGCATTTTAGTTCAAGTGTAGACGTGATTTTGGTGAACGGTCATACACCCCATATTGACACAACAATAATAGTAGACCTATCTATTATGAACCTAAGTAAAAAGAGATTTGAAACGGATATGCGCTCATAGACAACACGTCTTAGACAAGCATGACCACGACACTCATCAACTGTCTGCCTTGTTCCTTAGTTCCCATTACATTAGGATTGAAGACCATGATGAACTGAGAAGCGGTGAAAATCATACATTTCTCTCTTCTTTCAATGAAAAGGATTACATATAGTAACTACATAAATAACAACACTAACAGATAAAGACCATAGATCGGACGTGAAGCGGGTTAGGAACGAGAATACGAAAAGAACCAACCGAAACATAACCCGAACAAACAGAATCTTCATCTGCCAAAGGTTTACAAGAGACCAAGTCCATCATGATGCTCGTTATTCACGTTCAACGGTTTCTTGGATATGATATTATTCGATGTCGTCAATCCAGTCACCATATATCCGACTGATTTTATCGGGGCCCTTCCATTTCTGATGAGTTCGCTGACCCGACCTCTGAATTACAATGGTTGACCTCTGTGATGGAACCACAATATGATAAACATCTGAATGAGGTAGTGAAGGAACAGAAGCAACCAGAGTATCGCCAGGAGCTTTAGGCAATACACCCTGCTTCAGGTCAGGAGGAGCTGATGAAGAGTCTCTAGTTTCTGTCTCCATAAGCCCACCACCATAACGGTGTAATTCTGTGGTTAATTCAAAGTATTAAATCTAAACCACAAACTAAACAGCTCGTTCAATATCCGTTTTGTTCAACGGGACACGACAATGTTCATATGTTTATCGGTCTAAACAAGTAACCGACTCGGTCTATATGGCTATATCGACGTTCAGATAAATATCAGTAATTCAAAGAAACAAAAGCATGGAAGCATTGTTAGATATGCATGAGAATGACAACAAATCAGCATATGGCATAACCATGTTGATCCTCAACTTATACACTTTGTCAATATAAACTTTCCTTTCGGATTTTCCCTCGAGGTTTTTAAAACGCGTCTGGTAGGAAGAGATTTCCACACCCTTATAAAGAATATGTTTCATTCCGCTCTCCAACCGATGTGGGATCTCCACAACCTACCCCCTTTGGGGCTAACATTCTCGTTGGCACTCGTTCCTCTCTCCAATCGATGTGGGTCCCCCAATCCACCTCCTTTAGGACCCAACGTACTCGCGGGCACACCGCCTGGTGTGTACCCCCTTTGGGGCTCAACCTCCTCGCTGGTACATCGCCCGGTGTCTGGCTCTGATACAAAATAACCCAAGCCTACCAATAACAGATATTGTCCTCTTTGGGCTTTCCCTCTCGGGCTTCCCCTAAGGTTTTTAAAACGCATCCGCTAAGAAGAGTTTTCCACACCCTTATAAAGAATGCTTTGTTCCCCTCTCCAACCAATGTGGGATCTCACAATCCACTCCCCATGGGGGCCAGCGTCCTCACTGGCACATCGCCCAATGTCCACCCCCTTCAGGACTCAGCATCCTTGCTGACACACCGTCCGGTGTCTGGCTCTGATATCATTTGTAACAGCCTAAGACCACTACTAACACATATTGCCTTCTTTGGGTTTTCCCTTTCGGATTTCCCTCAAGGTTTTTCAAAACGCGTCTAGTAGGAAGAAGTTTTCACACCCTTATAAAGAATGTTTCGTTCCCCTCTCCAACCGACGTGGGATCTCACAAATATTATAGTGTCATTCAAGTTCCACAATTAAGAAGTTTCTAGCATGTTCATGATGGAGTCCTAGACCCAAAGCAAAGAATGAGCTATGTCATTAACACAAGGATTGATAATAGAAGAAACATACCAGCAGCTCCATGAGCAAAATGGCATTTGCTTCCAAATGGGCAATATCCTGTCAACTCCCACTTGTTACAAATCCTTGTTTTCCAATTCGAAGGCTTACTGTTGGATCCATTTCCTGAACCACCACCACCGCCGCCGCCGCCACCACCACCGCCACTGTAGCCACCAGGTCCCAAGCTTATTGCCACACTCTCTCGATTCTTTGACTGCTCATCATGAAGAAACGTACAACTATCCCCATATGGACAGCCCTCCTCTGTGTAAAACTTTTTGCAATGTCTTCCTTTATATGACCTCTGCGACTCTGAACCAAAATTTGATGTCCCAAGTGAAGGAATCTGAAATTCCTCCCTTGGCTCTGAAAATACCTTCTCTTCTTCATGTGCCGCCACAATTTCCTGCTAACAACACTCATTGCAATTAGGAACTCTTGATATTCTAAAAATTAAACCGAACAAAATGTTGAGCACGGTTAGGAGGGAGTCCCACGTTGGCTAATGATCATGAGTTCATAGGTAAGAAATACATCTCCATTATATGAGGCCTTTTGGAAAGCCCAAAGCAATGCTCATGGTGGAGTGTTATGATTCCTAACATAGTATTAGAGTGTCATGTCGAGAATCCTAACAAAGCAATTGCTTGCTTGGAAGATGTAATCAAAAGTGACTTACGTGTCGAACGGCTACATAGACCTAAGAGGAGGCTCTAGCTTAAAATAGACAATATCATACTAAATATCATACTATTGTGTGGAGAGTCGTGATTCGTAACACAAAATACTAACTAAGAACCAATTCTAATACCTGCCAATTATGTGGTGGCCGCCGGAGCTCCTCAATGCTATGAGCGAAATTGCAGTTCGTGATGTAAGGGCAGGTTCCAGCACGAAATTTGCAGCAGAGTTTGGTCTTGAAGAACATTTTACCAATCGCTTTTGATCGATTGGAAGAGGTAACATCCTGTGAGCTTCTGGATTTCTTGTTTGGGGGTTCGCTTCCGGATCGGCTTTGGGATTGTCTTTGATCATAACTCGAATTAGAAGGCGTATCAATGGAACCATCACCACCGCCATTGTTCCAAGCTCTGTATTCTTCTTCGGTAGCCCAAACTTCACCGGGCCAATTCTCGCTACTCATCCCGGGGATCACATGGACCACGTTTCCCCCACTATAATCCATTCCAAAAAAAATAAACAAAAATCCACAAATTGTTACCTCCAGAAGAATTACAAAATCATCAAATCATCACACATAAAACCCTAATTTGCAGAGACGAACACAGAAATGGGTTTCTTCAACCTCGAAAGAAGAGGTGAAAGCTTAAAAACCGACCAGCCATTAACCCTAATAGAGACGAACACAGAAATGGGCAGTGAAATCTTCAAAAGCGACCAAGAATTTTCTCAATATCGAAGAACAGATGGTAGAGGAATAGTGGGGATGAAGTTAGTAGGAAGATAGCATAGATCTATATGAACATTACAAAAGTAAAAAGGGGAGAAACAGTGAGCTAAGAACAAGTATAAAAATGGAAGGAAAATAGATAAGGAGAAAAGGATGAGATGAAGGAGGAGAGATTTCTGAAATAAATTAGATTCAGAATAATTTTGTTAATAAAAGTTTAGTGTGTTTTTTAGATTTCCATCAAATTTTTCTCTAAATTAATAATTACTTATTATCACGAAATAAACTAATTATTTTTATTCTGATCATCAAAAATTTATAACATTTTAATTTATATATATATATAAATAACGCTTACATCATTTTTAAAAATATCTAATAATCTTTTAAAACTCAATTTTGTGTCATCTTCTCCCTTCACAACATCTCTTTAAAAATTATAATCTAATAATCTTTTTTTCTTTTGTATTCTCGTCTTTAAAAAAATTATAATTTTATCATTTTTTTTTGTTCACGAAAAATTATAATCTAATAATCCTAATAATCTTTTTTTCTTTTGTATTCTCGTCTTTAAAAAAATTATAATTTTATCATTTTTTATTCACGTCTGAAAAATTAAGAACTGCGTCGTTGAAAAATTATAATCTAATAATCTTTTTTTCTTTTGGGTTCTTCTACTTGAAAAATTATAAAGTTTAAATCAATTAATCTCTTATATATAAATTTAATTTTTATGTCTAATAAAACTTTAAGTTATTAAATTTGCATCTATTAAATTCTATATCTAATCACGTACTAATACTAAGTTATTAATTTACATTTATTATTTTAAAATTTTAATTACAACACCTCTTACAATACAGAAAACGTCAAACTCAAACGATAACACAAAACGAACAACAATGTCTCTAAAATTTCAAATTTGTGTCCAAAACATTAAAATCAAACAATAACACAAAACGAATAACAAAGTCTCTAAATTTGCAAATGTCAGTTTGGTATATAATTCAGCTCATACCAGACATTACATAAACATAATCAACTAATTACATAAACATAATCAACCCTTAAATTTTCCATTTCATGTCTAGATCCTTCAAATTTACCGGTTCATGTATCTCTAACATATTCAAATTTTAAACACAAGAATTAAAAATTGAACGTTGTAAGTTAGAAAGGTTATAAAACCACTCTCTATGTCCTCAGCGTGGACCAAAACATTTTATACTATGAAAAATGATAACATTATGATCCACTAAATATAATAACTAGAGTGATTTCTAGTTACAGTATTAAAAAAAATCTGTCTTCAAAATCGATTAAAACATTCTATACTATAAAAGATAATAACATTATGATCCACTAAACGAGTAGATAATATAATAACTAGAATAGTATGTGAAAATTTTTAGTCACCGTATCAAGAAAAGATCCATATCTTCAGTATCAATCAAAATATTCTATACTAGGAAAGATAATAACATTATGATCCACGGGATAATATAATAACTAGTCAATAAAAATTCCTCATAGAAGATTTAATGGCCTTCATATTTTGGATCAACCATAACATAGTGATATGCTATTACCAATACAAAGATAAAGATTCCAAGAAAGTTTGAAAAGAACCCAAGATCTTGATCGTCAAACATCTGTACCACAATAAGGTTAAACATTATCAACAATTCTTCAAACATATATATATATATATAAATAAATAAATATATATATATATATATATATATATGATGAATTTCGCTTCATATTTAATATGAACTAATTAAATTAAACAAAAATTACAAGAACCCACTTAACAAATTCATAAACATATGAAATGCTTAATTTATTGGCCAATACAAGTAACATAATATGAAACATCTTTATAGATCAACCTGGACATACTTGTGAGATTCCACATCGAATGGGAAGGGAAACGAAACATTTTTATAAAGGTGTAGAAATCTCTCCCTAGCAGACGCGTCCCCTCAAGGAAAAGCCCAAAGAGGACAATATCAGCTAGCGGTGGGCTTCGACCGTTACAAATGATATCAGAGTCAAACACTAGGCAATGTGCTAGCAAGGAGGCTAAACCCCGAAGGAGGTGGACATAAGAAGTTGTGCGAGCAAGGACATTGGGCCCTGAAGGAAGGGGATTGAGGGGTCCCACATTGATTGGAGAAGGGAACGAATGTCATCGAGGACATTGGGCCCCGAAGGGAGGTGGATTGTGAGATCCCACATCGGTTGGAGAGGGGAACAAAGCATTCTTTATAAAGGTGTGGAAACCTCTCCCTAGCAGACGCGTCCCCTCAAGAGAAAGCCCAAAGAGGACAATATTTGCTAGCGATGGGGTTCGACCGTTACAAATGATATCAGAGCCAAACACTGAACAATGTGCTAGCAAGGAGGCTAAACCCCGAAGGAGGTGGACATAAGAAGGTGTGCGAGCAAGGACATTGGGCCCTGAAGGAAGGGGATTGAGGGGTCCCACATTGATTGGAGAAGGGAACGAATGTCATCGAGGACATTGGGCCCCGAAGGGAGGTGGATTGTGAGATCCCACATCGGTTGGAGAGGGGAACAAAGCATTCTTTATAAAGGTGTGGAAACCTCTCCCTAGCAGACGCGTCCCCTCAAGAGAAAGCCCAAAGAGGACAATATTTGCTAGCGATGGGGTTCGACCGTTACAAATGATATCAGAGCCAAACACTGAACAATGTGCTAGCAAGGAGGCTAAACCCCGAAGGAGGTGGACATAAGAAGGTGTGCGAGCAAGGACATTGGGCCCTGAAGGAAGGGGATTGAGGGGTCCCACATTGATTGGAGAAGGGAACGAATGTCATCGAGGACATTGGGCCCCGAAGGGAGGTGGATTGTGAGATCCCACATCGGTTGGAGAGGAAACCTCTCCCTAGCAGACGTGTTTTAAAAATCGAGACGTGTTTTAAAAACCTTGGGGGGAGCTCGAAAGGGAAAGCCCAAAAAGAACAATATCTACTAGCGATGGGCCTAAAGCCGTTTCCTAGACAGTGCAAAACTCATACATAGAATCATTACGACAGAAATAATGTGAGAATCTTTAACCTATCAGCATTTTATTGCCCCTGGATGGGTGAGGGTGATTAACATGTAAAGCACTAGATTATACTCCTTTGAAATGCCAAAAATGATTTATGATTTGCAAAGAGAGAACAACCGACGAAATTGCCGATTGCCCGAGCTTGGAGGCTCTTCCCTTCCTCAAGGATTTCCCTCTCCCAAGTTACGGTAAGGGGGTCTTTTTATCCAAGTGATCTCGCAAGTCCCTTGCCTTTTTCTTTTAACTTGTCGTCAGGGGATGGTCAGTTGAGTTTTGTCCTAATTTGATGCTCCTATGAGTTTTGTCCCAAGTTACGGTAGTGCCTTACTTATTATTTTAGAAAGAGTTGCGGCATTTGTTCCAATGTCCATCGTATGGTGTGGTTGGGGGAGGTCATCCGTATGGGGTGGTTGTGGGCACCATTTTCCCTTTTCTAGCTCTGTAAGGTTTCCAGGTCTTCCCTTTGATGGGTGTTAATGGGAATTGGCTCTCCGGGTGGGCTGCTCCTGCTTCAGTACATATACATGTTATTTCTGGTGGTTGTGCTCCTTGTGGAAACCAACCGTCATCGCCAGTTGGTGAGAAGTCTTTACAGTACAACAAAGTTGGAGCAGGCAAGCCTCGAGTCTGTGGGGGGTGGTTTTTCTGGTGGGATTCTTGTTCTTTGGGATAGTTGTCCGGCGACTCCTATTGAGGTGGTTAAAGGGTTGTTCTCTGCTTCCATTTCGTTCCGTTCTTCTGATTCTTAAGTGAGATGGGTTTCAGGATAGAATAACTACAGATATCAGTATCGCAATAAGCACCCAACTTTTTTGAGCAGCAGAGAGCACAGTGCTAGAGATCCCAATACATAGAAATGAAGATAATTTCAAAGAAAAAACCAATCAATCCAGCGCCATACTCGGAACAGGTCATAATTTTAGTAAAAAAGACAGCATTCAAGTTTGGAGGTGTTATAACTAGAATGGATCTACTCCAGACTTCAGATCCAACAAACTAACTTAGAACTTCAGGTTTCATCAGATCAAATCCTTCAGAACTTCATGTTTCAAGTTTGAAGGTGGGAATATCACGACCTACACTAACTGCATTTTGCTATGTTTTGTTACGATTGAGAAATAGAAGTGGGATTGTGTTAAGAATGAGAAACAGAAGTGGGATCTTCTTAACATGGTATCAGAGCAAGAAAAGGAACAGAACAAAAGTGACAGAGATCAAAACAAAGGATGACAGATGAATTGAGATCACCTTCCTCAAAATATATCATCCTTTTAAGCCCACATCTCAAAAGTTTCAATTTCTCGAATTGTCCTGATTGCCACAAATCATCAATATTTTTCCTCTCAATAATAAAATCAAGAACATATTCATTATCGTGTGTGGCGATCCTAAACTCAATCTGGGTCTTGAATTGGTTACCAATATTCTCAATCATTCTCCTCCTAGAGAGAACTGTGGTTGACAAACTGTTCTCGATCGTCCAATATCAAAACTATGTTATGAGCATTTACAAATTTCTCACCAAACTCTAATATCAGGTTAAGAGTTTCTCATTCTTAACATGTTTATCAAGATGGGATATTGTGAACAGGTTCAATCAAATAACACCAAAGAGCCTCCTAAAATTGGCTGACAATAAACAAAATGAAATAACCCTAGACCTTACATAATCCAAATCGGCCTAGATCGAAATTATCAAGAACGGTTAATTCCAAGCGGTGCTGCTAAACAATCGACGCTGTTACCGATTGGGAAATCGTGTCTTTGCAACATAGAAAAGGGGAAAATTATTCATAAAAAGGAACCTAACAAACAGAATCCTTAGGGTTTGTCACTGAATTCTGAAGGAAAATTACAAGGTTAAGCACGGTAGATCTGGATGATTTCAACAAAATTATGCAATCAATAGCCATGGAATCAAGTGGAGAAATTGTAAATGAAAACAAAAACAGAGAAAGAGTTGAATTACTCTGATAATCGTTGAGTTGACAACAGCCCCAAGAAAGAAGAGGAGAACTGCGGCGGAGAGAGCGTCGTCTTGTCAGCCACTCGTAGAGGCGGGAGAGAGTGAATTAGCGAATTGGAGAGGCCGAAATTATATATTTCTTGGGGCCATTTATTAGAGAATTTAATTTCTCAAAATTTAAATTTAAATATTATAATACAGCCTTTTTAACAATTAAAAAATAATATTTTTTTAGCTTAAATATTTTAAATATTTAATTTAGAAAATCTCTATTTGAAAATATATTTATATTAAGCTGACGCGAGAAACTGGACGAGAATGGAGTACATAATTTTGTCTCCAACCCCATTTATCTAACAGAAGAAATCTTTCATCACTTCCTCTCCCTTCTCCGTCTAAATGGGGAGTCTCGACCCCGTTCGGGGTGGGTCCCTACAAGTCCATTACCATGCGGGTTAAATAGACATCTCTAACTTCTCTGCAATCTCGATAGTTAGACGTAATTAGTTACAAATCAAAAAGTTTATGACAAAAATGTTCTTACCGTTCTTATGTTAAACATAAAAAAAATGTATTTTAGAATGGTTAGTAATAGATCTCACGGTTAGAGTTGAAAATACATTTACATATATGCATGTATCATGACGGGTAGGATCTAATGATTGTTCATTGAGCTCTATTTTCCTTTGGAGCATAATTGAATGCATAGTACTTCTTTACACACGGTTCACTCACTTGTACATGTACCTACTAGAAGACTTCATTAACGTACACACTAGACTTGACTACGAGCTCGTAACGCTCACGCTACTGAAAATCAAAGTAAAAAAAAAAAAAAAAAAAGAACACGAATAATATCGTGGTGAGTAGTCCATGATCATATGATATACAACATGCATGAGATCCCGCATTGAAAATCACAGTCCAATGAAATGATGTACATAAATTCCCTATGAGACGAACATCCATATTCATGATATGTCATTCATGTCTTTCATGCATCTCACACGTCATATACATTGAAATAATCTATATATATATATATATATATATATATATATATATATATTATTTCAATATGACTATTGCTATATGTTGAAGGAATGTAATGGATAAAGTAGAGAATGGTTTGATAATTTTAAGGAAAAATAATAATTATTACCCATGTTTAAGGGACACGATTTCTTTTTTTTAATATAAGCTTGTGATGTAAATTCCATGAACCTACATCGTAGTATTAAACATAAAGTTATTGATATTAAAAAAATATATAATGAACACATTATAAAAATTACCATTATTATTTTAGAATATAGTTTCATTTCTTATTCTTACCATAGTTTAAATTTAAATAATAATAATTGGTGAATATTATTAAAAAGGCTTATTCTAGAATAATCTAGATATACAACAAAATAATTTGACCGTGCCAAATGGCAGAAGAGGAGAGTTGACCACGTGAGATCTCACACGTGGGAAGAGATGCGTCACTTTGCTTTATCTTACTACAAATTTATATTATTTTATTTTATAAATTTCAGTTCACTCTTCAAAATTTCTTTTTTAGCAAATTATAAATTTATTTTTATATTACAATTTTAATTTTAATGTTTTAAGTTTAATTTTAAAAATTAAATTGTGTTATTTTATAATTTTAAATTTTTAATAAGATTTTAATTTTTAACTTAAAACGGGACATCGAATTTAAATTGTGCTAGCATCATCCCTGGTTGCATCATCCTCATCACGCCCTTCTTGTGACGCATTGAAAAAAGAAAAGATTAGTCTAAAATTTTTTATTTTTAATACATTTTTGCTATTTTTTCGTTTGATTTTAATATATACTCGGGTAAAAGAATTCATAAATTTATTAATTTACGAACGGTTTTCGCACTTTTATAAATGGTGTTTTGTTCTCTTCCTCAATCGACATGGGACATCATAATCCACCCCATTCGGGGCCAGCGTCCTTACTGGCACATCGTCCGATATCTGGTTCTAATACCATTTGTAGCCGCTCAGATCTACTACTAGTAGATATTGTCCTCTTTTGATTTTCGTTCCGTTTCCCTCAACCATTTTTCCTTCCCAACCAATCGGGGACATCACAGTTTAACTCTAATATTAGAATAAATATCTAAATTTGAAGGGTAATTTAACGAATTAAAAATTTATAAACAAAAAAAATTATAATAATTATCTAAATTTAAATGGTAATTTAACAAATTAAAAGTAAAAAAAAAAATAGACATTTTTTTAAAGAAAAAAACAAAGAAGACAAGGAACCGACTCCACCGGAGTAGCCTGTTCGTTAGCAATTCACGTGCACTTAAACACGTGTCATGATCTCCCACGATCTAAAGCTCAATTCCATCGCCAAATCCAACGGTGAGCACTCGCCTATATATATGCATTTACGACACATTGAAACACCTCAACGAAAAACCCAAAAAGGGAAAACGAAAGAAAACTCTGCCATTTCAAAACCTTCGCAAATTGCAGCTATGGAATCCGCTCTCATCAGAACCGTTTCCGTTCCCGTCCTCTCGTCGGCCGTCGCCGCTTCTTCGTCCTTCTCCAATTACAAACCGTTGTATGGAGCTCTCTCCGGCCAGAACAGTTCCATTTCATCTCCGAAGATCTCTCTGCATTTTGAGATCAATCATCGCAGAGGAAAGAACTGGAGTGGTATTCGAAGAGCGGCATCGGAGAGCGACATATCGCGATCGCTCCACGAGGTTTCGAGTCCGTATGATCAATTCGGTGGATTCAGATCTCGATATTGGTCCGTTCCTTCCGAAATACCAGAGGATGAGTTTCTGAACCAGGATGAATTTCACCGTGATTCATTTGCGGACACTGAATTTCTAAATTCCGGAATCGTAAGCGGCGATGGCGGTGATTTTGTAGCAGATAAATTTTCGGACGGAAGTAGTGAATCTAGTAAGATCAGAGCGTACTACGAAGAGATGCTGAAATCGAACCCTAGCGACGCTCTGATATTGAGAAACTACGGAAAATTCTTACACGAGGTAATCGAAGTCTAGAATTATCAAATTGAAAGTCTGCTTTGATCTGAAATCCTGAAATCCTGAAATCTAATGGAATATCACACTTTAATTTCTTTGATTTGATTTGATTGATGATTTAAAGGTTGAGAAAGATAGTAAACGAGCAGAGGAATGCTACAGCAGAGCAATACTGGCGAGTCCAAGAGACGGAGAATTGCTGGCTCTATACGGGAAATTAGTATGGGATACTCAAAGAGACAAGCGAAGAGCTCAATATTACTTCGATCGTGCCGTGTGTGCCTCCCCTAACGACTGGTAATTTTCGATATCTGGATCGAGCAGTTTAGCCCTAATTTCATGAACTGGAAGACTCTGAATGTTTGAATTTGTTTGTGAAGTTTGGTGATAGGATATTACGCTCATTTCTTGTGGCTGGTAGAAGACGATGAGGAGGAAGCGACGGCGGTGGCTCCGGCGCCGGCGCCAGCTCTGGTTGCGGCGTTTTAATGGAAGAAATTGGTTTGAAGGAGGTTTCGCGGATATAGGAGAGGAAGAATTGAGGGAGAAGTGGCACGTGATTTGTGGACGTGCCATTTCAGGAGGAAATAAATTGCACGTGACTTGTTGGTGTAATGTAAAGTCCCATAATAATAAAAAAAAATAACTCTGATTTCTATTTTAAAATATTCTATTTATTAGGAAAATTTCGACGTCAAATCCTAAATTACCACCAAATATTTTAGTTGGGGAAATTTCAACATCAACTCCTAAGTTACGAGCCATTGTCAATTTAACTTTTATTTTTTATCATATACACATTATAATTTATTTTTAATTAATTAATAAATTTAAAATAACCCACTTCATTGGCCTAACAATAGACACGTGTACACTCACGCGGTTGAAAATAACCCACTTCCATATTTATCATGACATGAATTTCTTATGAGACGTGGTTACATATTCGTGGTATTTCGTACAAAGTACATTATAGTATCTTTATGTATAAGACGTAAATCTAAACTAAACAAATACTTCACCATAATAACATAACATCCAATAAAGTTACGGTTACTAGATATTCATTTTTCATTCAATTAACTTCCACGTAACTCGTAGGTGTTTCAACAGTAAGTCCACCTAAAGTTTCTGATTCAACTTGGCACTCCTAAGCTCATTTTAACTTATCGTTCCTAGGTTTAGCTCAACTAAAATTCATGTTCACTTATGATATTACCGAGCATAGTCTATTCATGGAAGCGAACATAACTCAACTATCTTAAAATCAGATATAAACCGTGTTAATATTATTAATTGTCCAAAACAATAGCTTGTACTATAAATGGACTGGATTTATGTGTTTAAATTGACTATGACCAAAGTAGTGGCTACTTCAACCAAAAAAAGGGCGACCCCTTTTCAAACCGAAATAAGTACCTCACCTCAAGAAGTAGTTGGAGCCGGACAAAGAACTATGAGAGTTTGCTTTTCTTTCATTTTCTAAGAGCGGTCCCTTTTGATCCGTTGTTGGTCTTTGAACTAGTCATTAATGGTCGGCTTCATTGGTATCTTTTCGGTATGCGTTCCAAACACTTTCATTTTTAGCGTCTCATCTTCTCTAGCTAAAAATGATTCGAATATCTCCTATAGTGATTAAAACAGAACAACGAAGCTAATTGAAGCTAAATCAAATCGAGAAAACCGGACAACTAACCTCTTAAAAAATATTTTTCAAAAGGTCCAATTTTTTATTTTTTCAAATATAATGTTAAAAAAAGTGACATATTTTTGTCATATAATTAATCTTTAAAAAAAATTATAAATTTAGGCTATATTTAAAAAAATATGTACTTTATAATATCTATTTATGGATTACTTTCAACTTTTTCACGAGCATAACTCAACTAGACGAAAGATATTTACATTTGATCGAGAAATCGAATATTCAAAAGATATTACAAATTTTCCAGAATATAAACAAAATATTCACAAATGAATATGATCTTCCATTTTATAATTTTCTGGGGAATCAAATGAATATGATCATTCCTTTTATCATTTTTCTGGTCAATCAAATACAATTATCCAAATTTAATAACTCTGACCCTTCTCCCAATCCCCTCCAAACCCGACATCCACATTATATTCGACACCAAACGATCCATAATCACCTTCAATGGCTTGTTCGGGTGATGACACTGTACCTGTACAAGGAACGAGGCTGCAAATTTGCTCAAGCGTTACGCCATAGGATCCTATGCTTTACTCTTGCCAACTAATGTCGGGGTCACCGACACAATTCCGATCAGAAACAATGTGGCAATCGAGTTGAAGTCGTAAAGATCACCAACCGATTGCAATTCTCCAAGCGTCAGCCCAGCCTGTCATACAATTCGAGATGTTCGAGTCACTCAATATACAGTTTAGAAACATCAATATATGAGCTGAGAAGCAAACAGCCAAATCAACGTTAGTTCTTCACTCACTCTCACTCACTCACCTAAGAATGTCAAGTATGCTTCTAACTGCATTTCCGAACTATGTAATTAGGGAGAGGTTTCCACACCCTTATAAGGAATGTTTCGTTTCCCTCTCCAACCGGTGTGGGATCTTACAATCCACCTCCCTTGGGGGCCAGCGTCCCGCTGGCACACCGACCGATGTCTAGCTCTAATACTATTTGTAACAAACCAAGCCCACCACTAACAGAGGTTTTTAAAACGTGTCTACTAGGAAGAGGTTTCCACACCCTTATAAGGAATGGTTCATTCCCCTATCTAACCGATCTCACATCATCCCTCTCTAGAAACCCATGACAATGAGCTACAAGCAACACAAAGACAAACAACAGCAATGGAGAAGTGATTACCTTGACTGTAACGTAGGCAGCCGGGATGAGACCAACGACGGTAGCAAAGAAGAAGGTATGGTAAGGCACATCGACGATCGGAGATGCAACATTGATGAATGTATTTGGCAAGGTCGGAGTCAATCTTAGAAAAAGCATGTAGTTCAACAGCCCTTCCCTTCTCCTAGAAACCTGAGAGAGGAATCGATTCAACATCGAAAAAACCTTATAGAATCGACTACGAAAGAGACGGGGATATGAAACTTACCTGATCTTGAAAGAACTTCACCTTGTCAGGCCAAAGAGTAAAGGCGAGGGGCTTCCCGATCATCTTCGAGAGGAAATAGCAAGAGGAAGCTCCAGCTGTAGCGGTGAAGACAACGAGAGCAACGCCCTTGAAGACCCCGAAAAGGGCTCCAGCCAGCAGTGACATGAAAACAGTTCCAGGTATCATGAAGGTTTGCATAAAGATGTATACAACGCAGTATCCTACTAAGACCTGTGCAGTGTAGTCACTTGTATATTCCTCAAGGTGATCTCTAAAAGAAAGAATATTCATCAAACAATAATCCATATCCAAACATTCTAGCCACATTTTAACCATCCACAAGCTTTTACATAGCAACATTTATGACGAGATAAGTAATAACCCAAGCCCACCGCTAGTAGATATTGTCTGTTTTGGCCCATTACGTATTGTCGTCAGTCTCACGGTTTTAAAACGTGTCTATTAGAGAGAGGTTTTCACACTCTTGTAAAGGAATGCTTCATTCCGCTCTCCGACCAATATGAGATCTCACAATCCATTTCCCTTGGAGACCAGCATCCTCGATGGCACACGGCCTAGTGTCCGGCTCTAATGCCATTTGTAATGGCCCAAACCCACCGCTAGCAGATATTGGTTGCTTTAGCCCATTACGTATCACCATCAATCTCACGATTTTAAAACGCAATCTACTAGGGAGAGGTTTCCACACCCTTATAAGAAATGTTTCTTTCCCCTCTGCAACCAACGTGAGATCTCACAATTCATCTCCCTTGAGGACCAGCATCCTCGCTAGCACACGGCCCAGTGTCTGGCTCTAATGCCATTTGTAACAGCCCAAACCCACCACTAGCAAATATTGTTTGCTTTGACCCATTACGTATCACCATCAGCCTCACGATTTTAAAACGCATCTACTAGGGAGAGGTTTCCACACCCTTATAAGGAATGTTTCGTTCCCCTCTCCAACCAACGTGGGATCTCACAATCCACTTCCCTTGGTGGCCAGCGTCCTCGAGTGTTTGACTCTAATACCATTTGTAACAACCCAAGTTCATTACTAATAGATATTGTCCGTTTTTCCTCGTGACGCATAGCTGTCAGCCTCACGGTTAGGGAGAGGTTTCCTCATCCTTATAAGGAATGTTTCGTTCCCCTCTCCAACCAACGTGGATCGCACACAAACCATATCCACAAACATTCAAGAAAGTGCTGCCAAAATCTCATCAGCCAGAACCATAAGAATCCCACAAGAACATTATCAAGGAAAGTGTCAGATCTGATCATATTTCTGATACAAACACTTGAATTTGAAACTCCCTAAAAGAAGTATTTAGCGCCCATTCAAAAGACAATCAAATCATTCAAGAGCAAGCCATTAAAAGCTTAGCTAATCACTCCAAGAACAAGAACACAGCCAAACCCAATTCCAGAAATCACAAGAAAAATGACCTAATCAAGCGATCAAACACAAAAAAGAATCCACAAAACGAACGAAACGAAAAAATCCATCATCAAAATCGAAAGAAAACGCAATGAACAGAAGAAATACCTGAGGATTTGAAGATCTTGAAGGTTGCGAGGAAGCTTAAGAAAGCTATAATCGGAGGCCGGCATGGTTAGGTAAACACAAAGAAGGCCAAAAAGGAAGGCAATAACAACGGTGCTAAACACAGCCAAATCCCAAAAACTCAATTGAAATTTGCTCATCTTTTCGCCCACATTCTTTTCCCCTTTCTTCTCCATTTTCCTCAAGGATTTTCCCGGATCCCCTTTTTCACTTTCCGTTGTTTTCTCGGGAAACAAACAGAAAACCCAGAGGAAAGGATGAAGAAAGAGAAACAGAAACAGAAACGAAATTGAAATCTGTTTTAACAACAATCTTCTTTCCTTTAGGGTCACTCCTTGAGAGAGGGAGAAAGAAACAGAATATTCGCAGAAAATTCAATACGCAATACAGAGATTGGCATGTCTTGGAAGCCTTAAATAAGGCCTTTGAATTGAACAAAGGCCTTTGAAATTCGATGGTTGTTTTTCATTGTGGATGTGGTCAGTTCTTCGCAATTTCCTCCTCCGTCGTATCATTTTCAGTGGCTCCACTCCACAAATTGTATTCCAAACTCGTTTTTCATTTCAATTTTTTTTTAAAAAACTAATATAAACAACAATGTTTTTACAAAGTCTAATGTGTTTACAATTTTTTGTACTCAACAATTTCATATTAATTATTCATTTGGTTGGCTTGGTATGATAGATGATTGATGTTGATATACATGTCTTATAGTGTTGGATGATGCTTAAATTAATGTGTCGAGTCGTGTATCTCGATATTTGTTGTCCTTGAATGGAACAGAGCGGAGAATTTCTTATTAGACAGGGATGAGGAAGAGAGTTGTGAGAGATTTCTCCTCGTTAAATGAATGGGGTCGAAAATGGAGACTATATTCCCACGGAGTTGAGAATTATCGTTTAGATAGGTATGGGGAAGAGAGTGGTGAGAGATTTCTCCTTGTTAGATGAACGGGGTCGAAGATGGACACTGTATTCCCACTGAGCCGAGGATTACCGTTT